AATGCAAACACTCATACATACACACACATACACATATATTTTAGAGTTTTCATCCAAGAGGACTACACAGCATTTTACAAAATACATACAAGTAAATGAATGAGTGAAGTTCATTCTCCACTGAAAAGTCACTCTATTTAAAATAATGTTTGCAGACCCTTGGAAAGACCCCACATTAACATTAGACTAATACTTTGGATTAAGCATTAGCTCAGTAGAACATGTTCAACTTACTTAAATTGGATATGACTAAGATACAATGCCTATTAATCTTAATCAACTGATTGATCAACTACAAACATAGCAAGAGTGCAGACCACCACCTATGTCTTCACCCAGGGAAGAGGGGTGGAGAAGGAACAAGAAATTCTGACCTCCGTTTCCCACTGCTTCAGAAACTCACCTGGCCATAAACATTTTAGCTCCACAAGAACACAAGTTGAAGAATAAAGTTCATACAAACGTTTTTTGGAGCACACAGGAGGCAAACTACATAAAACGCCATAAAGCTTCAGCCAATGAACTGCTACAATATATAAATATGTTTGCACAACTGATACTAACATTACTCACAGATGTATTTGCAGGTGCAATACAGTATCATGCCCTTTTAATGCTGAGGCCTTGTGAAAGGAATTTCACTTGTACAAAGTCCACTTCAGCACATTCATAGTACAAGTATCTCTTTGAATTTAAAGCAAACAGATTTATTTTTCCACAAAATACATAAAGTGCATTTACTTCAGATCTCTGCATCTCATATACAAAAACTTGCTTCAGAGACCCAAGAACCCTTCACTATAACAGCATCAATGATTGCCTGGTTGGCAGCTATGCAATAAGCCTTTTTCAAATAAGCTTCCAATAGTATTACTCCCCTGCTCTTCTGCTTTTTAATCCCTCGGTAATGCTGATATAAAACAAGACTTCAGTAGCCCAGAGAAGAATAATGTTTCTCCATTTTTATTCTTGCAGTTCAAAATTACTTACCTGGAAAATAATAAAACATACAGAATCTGGTATTATTCCTTTCACATCTCTCAAATATCCTCAAAATGAGTATGAGCTTTCAAGTACGTATGGCTATCCAGATACGTCATCATAGACATGAGATCAGACATGCTTTGCCCAAGACTCCTCAGCCCTTTGGCTACAAGGCTTATCAGTAAGAGTAGATTTCTCAGATTTTTTTTTTTTATGTCAATCACATAACACCACATGGTACGTTCAGAAACTGAATGTAGATTTTTCCATTGCCTAATTCTCCAACTCAAATCTAATACAGGTTGGTAACAACTGGTGCCCTGTTCGATATCCCACAAAAACGTTCTGGAAGCATCCCACAAAGCCCAACATCAGTGCACTAGGGCATCTCAGATGTTCTTGCAAACATTTCAACAACTCAGGACAAAAAAAGTTGTCACATAATATTTGAAAATAACCTCATTCAATAGCAGTTGCATCTCTCTTCTGCTGTAGTTCTAGAGGATATTATCCATTTAATCTCTGTAATCATTTTACAATGATACTGCAATCTTAGTAACTCATAAAGTAGCATCTTTATTAAAGAACGTTGCCAAATAGGTCGTGTATGAATTTTAGATATTGCATATTCCCTTCCATTGAACAGAATTACATCTGGAGAATATTTCCAGTCAGTCGAGCATTATATTATACTGTAAGCCGTTAAAAGATGATATGTTAGGCACAAAGCCAAATTAAGAATATGCTGTACTTAAAGGGGCTCAACTCAGCCTCGAGGGAAGACAGAATGTTACACTCAGTGCCACAGTGTGCCACAGAGACCGCAAGAACTGTTTCCTGCGGCAGCTGCAAAATTAGCCAATTGCCTCCATATCACACACATATTTACATGAATTCCACGCAGAAATAGCGACCACATTAAAGAAACAATTAGATGGGTAGCACCCTTGTTTAATAGCAAACCGTTTGCAAAAAGAACACAAGCTTTATTTATTCTGTAGGAAAACAAACTTATGTTGCTAGTTTTAGTCACAGATCCAACAGTAACGACATCAATTCTTAGCCAGGAAGGGTTTCAGTAGCTAAATAAGCCACTGACAAAGGCCAAAGGGATTTATTTTATTTCCCAAGTTCTCTCCCTTAACCAAAACAAAGCATAGGTTTACTTTCAGGAGGAGCCACAATCAGCATATTTCAGTCCCTCTCCTTCAGTTTACGCACTCAGCCTACTCAAACCTGAGAGTGGCAGGGTCCAAGGGCAAGCTGAGGTTTATTTTGGAGCACTTCTCCCAGGCCTGCCAGGCCCCACATCACACGCTGATAGAAGCAGCAGGTCTTACACTGAACTGTTACAACTGCACTGCTCTCACAACAGAGCCTCCAGAATAAGTCTGTTGCATTTAACCGAACTGCAGCAGTAGAAAAAGTGATGGGGGGGAAACGCTATTATCCCTTAGCCCTCTGCTCTGTTATTTATCCATTATGAAGACCACAGTACGATACGGGGGTGGAGGAGGATAACCCCCCCCTCCCCAATACACACACAGACACACTCCCGCTCTCTTCATCCCTCAGCCGTACGCGGGCGTTTGAGCCCACCCCTAAGAGCTACCAAACTTTCCCATTGGAAG